GCCCTTGACTTGAGTGGTTTGCTGGGCCATTTCAAGAGGCACTTAAAGTCAACCACATTAATGTGGGTCTGGAGTCACATGTAGGTCAGACCTGGTAGAGACTACATATTTCCTTCCCTAAAGGACACAGGTGAACCAGATAGTTTGCACGACAATTGGCAATGGCTACATGGTCACCATTAGGCCAGCTTTTAATTCCTGATTTTTACTGAATTCCATGTACCCAGGACATTAATCTGCAGCCCTGGGTTACTAGCCCAGAAACAGTACCACCATGCCACTACATGCCCTGGCATCAAGATAAAAGATCAGCCATGATTATATTGAATGGTGAAAGAGACCTGATGGGCTGAATGGCCTACCTTTGCTCCTATTTTCTATATTTCAATATTGGGTCCAGACAGAATGCAGGAGGTCTAATCAAAGTATTCCCACCATTTGAATCAATATAATCTCCTGTTTTTTTCTGTCTCATTTATTGAAACAGAGTGTACATGTTGCAAAACAGCAGCACATAATCCATGATGGAAGGACGTGCAGCATTAACGACATTTCATATCTTGTTTTGGCTTGGTAGGACTTTCTTTACATTAATTACACAAGTAGTTTTAATGAGATAAATAATTTACTTCCATGTTCCATTTCACATGGATATACAGGAGGAGAATCAATCATAATCAACCAAGTATTTACTGTGTGAATATTTTACCCTTCCAGCAACTGCAATGTTATGCTTCTGTCCATACACAAAAGTACATTTGTTTTGTGGGTGTAGGATAGCCAATTTATTTTTAATCAGTTATTTAAACTCAAACACTGCTGGCGAATATGCACGATATATGCCATAGTTAGGTTTCAGGGAAATTGAGAGAATCTGTTTTGAAATTTCAAGAGTTAAGCCGGACTAGTTCAATTTCTGCAGTAGTGAGAGATGCAAGAAAATAAAGTGTTACATTCAAAATAACATTAGTTTAATAAAACTCGCTGTATTTTGTTTCCCTCCAATGACGTAATATCACTTTATTGTAAATATTACGTTGCATGTTCATCATTTCTCAATAAATTCACTTTATAATTTAACCATAAAATGGGCCAGGAAGCTGTGATCCTCAGAAGAAGAGAAAGCAATGTGGATCCACAGATAACTATATTTATCAAAATATGTCAAATATATTTATGTTTGTTATCCTGAGTGTACGGCAAAGGTTTGCCCGGATATCAAGGCATTGAAGATACCGCTCAAGACATACCCTTCAAATATTTCAAATTAATCCAAAATATCTTATGTGGAGAGTGGGATACTGCTGTAGTTTTCTGTATTCAAAATAGTATTCAACTACAAAATGGTCAGTCTCTGCCCACCGGGTAAAAACCAGCTTGTGTATGTGTACCCATGGGAAACTGGTACCTATTGATAACATAACTGTTGGGAAAATGTATTTTTATTTAAGGACTATGTGGAAATATTGGAAGGTATGGAATGGTATGAAACTTTTCCGGGATTAACAGGGCTGCATCAGGAGTGAGGTCAACTGTTTAATGTATATTGTAAGACACCTGCTGTATGCAGAAAAATCAACTGATTTTGGAGAAAGCAGCAAAGCAAAGATTTCAGAGATGAGATGGAGTTTGTGGCCTTAGTTACTAAGAAACCTGACTTTTAAACAAAACTATTATGTTGCCACTACGCTAATGGTAGAATTGCTATCATCTCTGAACTTAGAATTCCTGTTTTACAGACATGAGAAGTCAGTAAGGAATGCACCCAGAAATTGAAGTCACTCATGAAATGCATTTCTTAGAAGTTGTTCCTGGGAACCAATTCAGATTCCAAGTATTTATGAATACCTTGTAAAACCTGAATAGCTGGACTGTGACCATGTTCAAATATAGGTAATTGTAAACAGACCTGAAATTCCACTACTAGTCGATAGCTGTCTGCAATTCAACTTTATTGATACAAAATCCAGGATTGTTTTTATCATGACCCTTGGCAATTGGGGCTGAATCTTACCATTTTTTTGGCTAATTATCTGTTTTATCAATTTTCATGGAGGGTTCTCTCCGAGGTCCAGCAGGTTCTCTTGCTACATTTTAAACAAATTCACTTCATTAATTATCTACCCCTCCACTATGGCATGTTTATCATTTGAGCCTCATTCTACTACTAACCATACCAAGAACAAATATGTCACTGTTGTGATATCCTGGAATAGATTAGCATTGCAGGCACTAGCGCCATCTCTAAAAAGGTCACTGTGCACCCAGACAAGCAATGTTAGTCCAGAGCTGTCATGCACCATTCATGAGATTTGCCCCAGATATGGCAGGCAAGGGAAGATTGGCGCCTAACCTTTTCGCAGCAGGGACCAGGAGGTCTTGGTGGGCAAGCTGGCACGGAAGCAGCAAGCTCCAGGATCAGAGGAGGCCAAGATTATGCTATCTGGGTGAGTGAAAACTCAGCCATCGGGAGGAACGCACAGCTACATAAGAAGGTCAATAACCTTCTCCACTCCAGTGCAAAGAGCTAAGAGAATAGTCTACAACATGGAGGTTCACTAGATCAAGCAGTGAGCTGGCATCACCGGGAATCTGCTCTGACTTCCATGTTCAGAATTGTGAATGTCTACTTTTCTCGGGATGTGTTGTAGAATAGGAAACTACGTATTAATAAGGTGAGATTTGTAGTTAATCAGGCCATTAACAAACAATAACACACCCCTCCACCCCCAGCAGGCAACTCATCTTTGCCTGGTGTTAACCAGTGCTGACTATCCACTTTAAGAATAAGCTTTGTTTCTATTAAATGGATTATTTTGAGCTCGTTAAAAGAGGCTGGCAAACATCTCTTTTATTCTGGACAGCAGTACACAACAGAGGCAATTGACCACTTTAATAAATGAACCAAAATACATTTATATTAATGGTATGACTGTCAGAATAGTGAGGTATGATTCTAATGTCTAATGCAGTTTGCTCATGTCTAGTTGCTGGACATACATATATATCTATAAAGAAAGGTTTACTCCAATTCGAATCTCATCCACCTCATTAGCAGTGCAACTGTGAACTAAATTGTGGTCAATTAATTCATAGGATGTGGCCAAGGCTGGCTGGATTGGCATTTATTTCCATCCCTACATGCCGTTAAGGAGGTGGTGACCAGTTGCTTTCTTGAACAATTAAGTCCATGTCATATCAGTACAGCCAAAGTGCTTTTAGGGAGAGAGCTCCAGGATTTTGCCCCAGTGACACTGAAAGAATGGAAATATTGTTTCAAGTCAGGATGGTGTGTGGATTGGAGGGGAACTTACAAATGGTGGTTCTCCAATGTATCTGCTGCCCTTGTTGTAGAGATCATGGGTTTGTAAAGTAGGAGCCATTGGGCGTTGTCACAGAGCATCTTGTACATGGTACACACTTCTGTCAAAGTGCACTGGTGGTGGAGAGAGTGATGGTGCTAGCTAGGGTGTCAATCATGTGGGCTGCTTTGTTCTAGATGGTATTGAGGAGTTACTCTAACATCAGCAAGTAGATAATAATAACGTGAAGAAAGATGGCTGAGACAGTACACTAGGGAGCTACTTAATAATCTTTTATCTACAGTAATTCATTTGGAGAATATAAATAAAGGTTTTTAATGAGTTGAAAAGCCTTACTTATAATAAAGGAGCAGACAATTTCATAAGCTGTGTATGTGCAGACAGCACAGCCCAGAAATATTCCACAATCTCCATTGAGTGGAGAGTATTCCATCACATTCCTGACTTGTGTCCTGTAGATGAAGTACAAGCTTTGTGAAGTCAGAAACTGAGGTAGTCACTGCAAAATTCATAGCCTTTGACCTGCTCTTATCGCTATGGTATTTATACGGCAGGTCCATTTCAATTTCTGGACAATGGTAATCCCAGGATGTTGATAATGGGGAGTTCAGTGATGGTAACATCATTGACCATCGAAGGGTGATGGTTAGATTCTCTCTTGTTGCAGGTGATCACACCTGGCACTTGTCTGCCATGAATGTTACTTGCCACTTATCAGCCCAAGCCTGAATGTTGTCAGGTCATGCTGCATATGTACATGGGCTGCTTTAGTTTCTGAGGAATAGCAAATGGTGCTGAACACTGTACAACTATCAGCAAATATGCCCACTTCTGACCTTATGATGGAGGGAAAGTCAGTGATGAAGCAGCTGCAGATGGTTGAGCCTGTGACCCTAATCTGGGGAACTCCTGCAAAGATGTTCTGTGGCCTGTGGGTTATCGCATGGATAATTCTGTGGTTTATTAAAAAAAAAACTTTATCATCATGTGCTTTAATATTACCACCTACATATTAAGCTGCTGTTGTGGAGTATCTCTGGGTTGTGGCTATCTCAGATATACCAAAAACTGCTTATTCCAAGTAAGGCTCTTCAATTCCTTATGCACTGCAACATTCTTCCTTCAAATAATCTAAATAAAGTTCTGTACATAAAAGGTTATCAAATACAGTTTTTTTTTTTGTCCAGCATCTAGCACCTCTCTCTTCATATGCTCACTCTAGACTTATCTTCTTTTGTACAGACATCAGACCATGTGATTCATCAAAATTCACAAAAATCTAGTTTTGCCATAAGTTAAATTACCAATTAGGTGAACTTTTGAACTGTGGGTCCCACTTATGAGCAGGATCAAATTGCAAACTCAATATATGAAAGAATCCTACATCCAGTATGTGGCCTCAGTTGTATACTTGAACAAAGTTACGAAAGATTAAAGAAGTACCTAACTCCCTACATCATCCAATGACCCAATATATCAATGCTAAGTCCTGTTAGCTCATGCTTTCGTGGATATCTTTTGCACATAATCATTACATAAATTGAATGATGTATTTTCAGGAGTTCATTTCTATTTACACTGTACTTAATAAACATTGCTTTCAATCATTAAAACTTTTTTGAACCCAGTTTAAATATCAGAGGAAATATTAAACAATTATTTTCTGTCAAAGGATACAAAAAATAGTAACACTTGGTGATGCTTAATGGCTCCCAATAATCCAATCAAAGCAATGAAGAAAAGAAAGATTCCAACTCCAATCACTCCTGCGACAACAGAGAAGCTTGTAACAAGTCCAAAGGTTTTACCCCATGCTGCAATTCCAATCAGCAACAGGCTCACCAGCTGTAAAAAGAAAGGCGTAAGTTCAGAATTACAGACAGCAACCTTTAACACATTAATCCAATAAAGTTATAATCAAAAGCTAACAGTATAGGCTCTTGTAGCTCAGTGGTAGTGTCCCCAGCTCTTGTCAGAATCCCCAAGTTACATTTCAGCTGTTCCAGAGGTGTGTCGTAACACAGATTAATTAAAAGTACCTATAGGTTAACAGTAATCTTTTAGAGCCCATTGTGTTTATGTTAGATCTTTGCTGGAACAATCCAAAACTAATCTCCCTTCCCAACATTAAATTTGGATTCAAATGTTGTTCCAAACCTCCCCTCAAATGATGCAACTATTTCTGCTTCAACCAGTTTGTGTGGCAAAGCATTCTCTGGTTTCTAATGACACTAATAAACGTTCTATTCCCTCCCCTGCCTATCAGCATTTTATTATGGTATTCTCTTGCCCAACTCCCAACAGGAGAAAAAATTCTTTCCCTATTCACCATCAAAACTACTGAAAAATTTCTAGAGCGTTGTATTAAAACTTACCTTAATCTGTTCCGATGGAAATAGTTCTGGTAGCTAAAGTCTCATTCCCAACTAGTTTCCCCACTTGGACATCATCTTGGAAATTCTATGTTGAATAGTCTTAATTATTTTATTATGCGTTTCCTAATGTTATGTCCTGCACAGTGCCCTACACATTAACCACAGTCTGTCTACAATCACCTTTACTCTTCTACCTTTAAATTTAGACCATTTAAATTCTACTGGTCTTTATCTGCAAGCTCTATCTGCATTTGCAATTTCAGGGAATTATGTATTTGAACCCATCAGTCTGTTGATCCACACCTTTTAGTATTTTTTATTAAGTATATAGTCATATTTGTAGTCTTTCTTTCCATAATGCATTACCTCACACTTATTTACATTACCTTCCATATTTCAAGAACAATATACTAACTTGCGCACAAATATTTTACTTTTCTAGCATTAGCAATTTAAGATTATGTACTAACATCTCTACACATTGACAGCAAACGGGGATCCAATTTAGGACATGTCCAAACCTCCCTCAATCCAGGTAACAGAATTCACTTCAACTCAGTTTCCTTCCTATCAACTCACTTTGTATCTAACAAATTACATTTTTTCTTACATCACACTCTTGACTCTTCCAACAAGACATTTTATAATCCTTTATGATTTTTCAGCTGATCACATATGCATATTGTCATGCATTCTCATTACTATCCCAAATGGCAATTTCTTCAATGCTGAATTATCAAACAGAAATTGGCTTCAAGAAATATGTACATTTTTTCTGTGTTAAATTAACCATTTCTAATCGCTTATAGATCTTCTTAAACTATGGATTAAATTATTCTTCTTTTTTTAAAAAAAAGGGAAAACTCAATTCCAAGGCTAATTTGGAAGTCCAATGTACAACTTAGTTCCTATCCATTTAACAGACTTCACATGTACGTAAATATCCAATACATGCACATGGTTATGACTTTTAATAATATATTTTAACTGATATTTAGCCTTACTTGCTACCGACTGATCTAAAAATTTCAAGAATTGATTAGTATCATTGTTTATAATGGAATGAGTGGCAAATAAATATTTTAAATTCTCGAAGGAGGAGTCATTGATGAAGTGCTTTATTTAGTAACAACATGTATAAAGAAGCTTAATATCAAAGCAAAATCTAAGTGGAAGGTTTTAACACAGAAAAAAAAATCCCCATTCCCATTGATGTAGAAATAATCATTGTTTCCCTCAAAGCATTACTAAGACTATTTACAGCAGTCTTGCTTTGACACAATAAAAAGAGGTCATTGTTATCTTGTTTGCTATGGGAGATGAAGTACAAAAGGTACCAAGCAACATGATGTTATAATTTATCCACAGACTGAGGACTCAAATAACAATGTAGTGCTTAGTACTATACAGTAACTTGCCAAGAATTATAACGTATAATTACTGTTTTACATGGTTTTGGTAAAATTAATTACACTATGTTTATATGGGAAAATGTCTATAAATCTGACGTAATAGTATATCCTGGAAAGTTCTTTTTGGATTTCTTTTTCTAAAAATTAGTCACTGGTCTTGACCACGGTTCCTCTTTGCTGCACTTGCGGCAGCAGTGTCTTCATATGCTTTGCGTTCACCTTCTGGAATTTGTCTCAAACTACTCCACCTCTTTCTTTCACGACATCCGTCGTAACCCATGCTTTTCATAAAGCCTCAGAACATCTCCAATAGCTTTTTCATTGGTTTGATGTCCCTTTTATCCCCCCTGTTGTTCCTTGAAGGGCTGCAGGATGTCTTTTCATGCTAAAGGCAATTATAGAGAAATAAGTTTTGCTCTGCTTATGCACTTTTGTACATGTTCTTCTCAACTGTAAAATGTTCCTCAAACTTCTCCAAATGATAATTCAGGTGGTATTTCTTTTCTTCCTTACCACAAGGAATATCTTTCACTCTTAAACACTTCTTCCAATTTTGCTTATATTGCAAACTTTCCCTATGCCCTTTTCTCGTACATATAAATCAACTTTTTCCACGCTTACCAAATTATCGCTTTTAATCTTATTTAATCTGTTAATTTTAAGCCCTCAACTTCCACTCCTGTTCAAGCATGATAAAAAGACCTATGCCCTAATTTGGTAAATATTCAGGACACTCTAACTTAACAAAATAACCTTAAAAACTGTCCATTTCTTTTTCTTAGCAGTTAGTATTTACATACTAAACCTCACCAGTGGCCAAGAGAAATGCATGTACAACTTTTCACATTATATCATTCCACCTCATTGTCCATGGCAAAGTACGGCACTGCACTCTGTAATCAATAGAAAAACAAGGCTGTCTCTAAACCTATGTGCCTTTTGTAAGCTAGTCCAAATAAGCCCAATGGTTAGATTGGAGTGAGATTTGAAAAAAAATTGATTTAATTTACACAACATTCCATTACTTAATTATTGGTTAAACTGTATTTCACCATTCCTGCCCATGATTGGACTCAATGCAGTCATGCTGAATATACTGCGAATCTAATAACTTTTAATTATATGCAAATAGGATGCATCCACTAATTGGTAGATCTGTCCAAACAACTACACTTTTCAAAAACTAAAGCTTAAAATGTTTTCACAATCATGCAATTTCAACCAGATGTGCACCCTGCAGATGAGGAGGAATAGAAGGATACTTGCAAGCCAAGAGGTGACTGCACCGGGATAGGTAAAGAAGCCTAGATAAAGGTAAAGAGATGCACTGATAACAACCTCGGAGTGAAAGTAACTAAAAACACTTCCAAGAAGCTACATGATGGGAAAGTACTGTCAATCAAAGACAGCAGAGCATTCAAAATGGATGAAAAGACCAAGACAAAGAACCATAGTCATAGTCACAGAAAATGCCATTCATTGCTGCTTAGAGAGATTACACTGTTGTGGGAAAGACAAAAAACCTGATTGAGGCAAAAAAAATCAGAAAGTAGCAGAAATGCTGAGGCAGCTAGGCGTGGACAATAAGTGCAACCCCAGCCAGAAACACCCACAGTGAATGACAGAATACCAAAACTTTTTGTAACTTGACTGAGATTTTTGTATAGCTGAAACATGATTTCTGTCCCTTTGTACTACATTACACTCCATCTTAATGGCCAGTGTTTCAATGACCTTTGGATATCTTCTCCATTGCTTAATTGTATTTTCACAATCTACATACCAGGAATCACCATTTCTCTTTGGGCTTGTGACTTTATCTTTTCAATATTTAAAATCCCATTCTGTTCTTTTTTTTAACATCTAATCTAACTCCTGTGAAAGACCTCAACACTGGTATTCAGTCCTTTCAGCTTTGCTCATTCACTTAAATTTACCAATACTTCTTCAGAAATTGTTTGATCTACATTGTTTGCAATGATGGCTATTATGTCGGCAGCAAATTTGGATAGGAGACTTCCATTGTAATCATCCAGGTCCTTGATTAATACAATGAATAACTGGAGCCCCAAAGATTCTTGCAGGTGACCATTAAAGGAATTCCTGCTATTCCTTGTTCATTATCCCTACACTCCTTCTCCCTCTGCTCCATTTGCTTTAGAACTATTTATCTACATTAATTTTTCCACCAGAGCCCTTCCCTGTACTTCCTAAAGTCCTTGTGGCTGCCTACTTAACACCATTCCATTAGGACCTTAGTCCCAACTTTGTTCAACTGAAAGTACAGATCCTTCTTCTTCTTCCAGTGTTGTTGCTTCTGTTCCATAAAATGAAACCATTATTTCTCACATTCCTTCTGGCATTTTCCTGATTTATTTATCTGTGCACTAATTTGGACATGGCTCAGGTAATAATCCACAGATCATGACCCTGGCATTTCCCTGCATTCTCCAAACAGGATCCCTTGTCTACCCTTTCCCACATTGATCTCACCAATACTCTTTCAAATTAGTTCCTTACTTCTATGTGTGCATCCCAGCCATTCTTACTGTGAAGTCTTAAGTCTGTACCAAGTGGCTACTCCCAGTCAGGACAACAGTAGACAAAAAAAAAAAAATGGGCCTCAAAAGGTCTGAAGTTCTTTCTAATCTAGCTGCATAATCATAGCCAAATAATTACTTCAAATGATTTCTCTTTCTCTTCCTGAAATATTATCTCTGGTGTGTGCAAGGAGCAATCTTTTCTCCACACTACTCCCCCCACCCCCCCAACGTCTCATTGAGAAATTTCTTCGTACTGATATGATTCAAAGCCAGAGCATTAGTTTTCATACGCATGCTGATAATAACTAGCTCATCACCAACTTTCTCAACTCAACCACTATTGCAGAATTATCAGACAGCTTCTCTGATATCCAATATGGTTCAGCAGAAATTTCCTCCAACTAAATATTGCAAAGGCAGAGGCCAGTGTTTTCAGTCCCTGCTCCAAACTGTAGTGCCCAACTACTAACTCCATCCTTCTCCCTGGCAACAGTCTGAGATAAGTCAGTCTCTTC